CACAAATATTGCAATACTCGTTCAAACTCGTTGTATTAAAAATACTTTCAATTTTTTTTGTTCCTACTTTTCTTTTTCTTTTTCTTTCTCGATCGATTTCGAAATAAAATTAACACGCCATCATCGTTTGATTTATAATATTTAATTTTACACCGTATTATAAATGTTACGCACGAACGAAGCAGATTACGAGTTTGTTTATTAATAATACAAACGTCGTGTAGTTCGATGAATTACAGGTAACATTCACCTGTAAACACAGAAATGTAAACTCAAATTTCGTTTCGTACGGCATTATACGATCGGCATCGTGCCGCGTAGTATCTCGTCCGTGCTCTCGTCCACGAACATCTCTCGTTTTTCGTTTTTCGTTCGCGGCAATTCTTGTCTTTTTTTCTTTTTTTAAATAATAAAAAAGCTTCTCAAGAATCGAGCGAAACAACTTAATTTGTTAAAAAAAAAAAAAAAAAATCTTATAGATCCTCCATGAAAAAATCTGTGCGCAAGAAGGCGCCATCACCGCCTTCCAATCCAGGAATATTGCGAGAGGTGAGCGAGGAGAAAGAGGATAATGCGCCGAAACCGGAAAATCTCCCAAGACGGAAGTATTCCTCGGACGAGAGCTCCGAAGAGGAGGATGTGCGCGAGCTCGAGGGTAACGTTTACACGAAAGCTGGTATAGAGGTAAAGTGGAACGAAACGGAAATCGATTCGAAAAATTGTTTTCCACCCGAGGGATTTTTACTACGATAAAAATCAATTTGGGATTAATAATTATCGCAGATCTCGAGGAAAAGCGCCGGAAATGTGAAACGTACCAAAGCGGAAATTGAAGCGGATCCGGAGAAGGAGGACGAGTTCGGTTACACGAATAGTACGTAATTCATAAATTGTTGAATTTATAAATTTTTTTTTATTTTCTTTTTTTCATTTTTATTTTCCTTTCTTTTTCTTTTCTTATTCTCTTTCTTCTTCGTTTTGATCTTCGCGTTGATCACAATGTTTAATCCACAGTGAAAATACAAAAGAAATATCAGTCGTTGGGGCACAAGGTGATACTGGTGCAAGTGGAGAAAGACAGGCGTGGTCTCGGCATCTCATTGGCTGGGCACAAGGATCGAAATCGGATGGCAGTGTTCGTTTGTGGCCTTAATCCAAAAGGGGCAGCTCACAAAACTGGCGAGATTTCAGTCGGCGACGAGATACTTGAGGTAAATTTTTCTATTTTTTTCTTTTACACTTAAAAATGTTTCCTGCTTTAAATATTTTACCCTTAACATCAAAATCTTCTTTTAAAATAGAAGTAATATTTAATTCATTGTTAAATTCATACTTTTAAACGTCGTTTTAGTATTAATTATTGAGGGACGTATTCATATTTTTATTGAAAATTATTATTCTTCAATATACGGTATTAATTATTTTGTTAATTTTAAATTAGCAATTCTGAGCGATTCGATTAATTTAAATAACATGAAAAAAAAAAAAA